GCGTGGGGGGTGCAGGGGGGGCCGGGCGCACCGGGCGCAACATCTGGGGGGGCGCGCTCACACTCGCAGCTCTCTGCCCCTGCCTGTGCGAATCCGATCCGAGCCGCCGGGTCGCCGCCCACTGTGGAGGGAGGGGGGGCGCAGGGGGGGCGCAAATTCGTGGAGGGGGGGCGCAAATTACTTGCCTTGCCCCGGGTGCTGACAACCCACGCTACGCCACTGCTGTCATCTCTACTGTTTTATACATGTTCAGCTCCAAATTGTTCCATCTGCATGGAATGGAATGGAATGGAATGGAATGGAATGGAATGGAATGGAATGGAATAGAATACAATACAATACAATACAATACAATACAATACAATACAATACAATACAATAGAATACAATAGAATAGAATAGAATAGAAACTTTATTGTTACTTTAAATGTATACTAATCAGCATGCATTAAAAATGAAATTTCGTTGCATTCAGCTCTCAAAAAATACCATTATGCATATACCTTCATACAAATATGACACAGAGAAACATCTCTGTATAGTTCAAGTGTGTTTGTGTGTGTGTGTGTGTATAAATCCTGCGAATTTACAAGATGAATGGCAGAAGGAACAAAGTTGTTGCATAATCTGGTAGTTCTGCTATAAATACTTCAAAACCTCCTCCCAGATGGGAACAACAGAAAGAGATCATGAAGTGGGTGTGTGGGTTCTCTAACAATGTTTTGAGCTCTAAGAACATAGCACTTATAAGCAGTATCCTGAATAAAGGGAAGCAAGCTTCCTATAATCTTCTTAGTTGTCCTTACCATTCCTTGTATGGACCTTCTATCTGAGGCTCTGCTACCACCAAACCAAACAATGATGCAGTTTGTTAAAATGCTCTGAATGTGCCTCTGTAAAAAGTGGCGAGGACAGGAGAAAGATGTGTTCTCCTCATCCAATGCAAGAAATACAAATGCTGGTTTATACATTTTACTAAAGATAATGTACGAAGAGACCAAGTCAGATTGTTAGTTATCTGCACCCCTAGGTACTTAATACTATTGACCAACTCCACAGCTGCAGCCTTGATACAAAGTGGAGTATGACGATTTCTAGTTTTGTGTCAGCAAAATGGATGCAGGAAGGCAGGGCTCTGCCTTCTGTGCCCAATTTCGCCCCGGGGGCCCAGAAAAGGGCCTAAAGTTGCCCCGAAGTGGCAATGAAGAAGGAGGAGTGTCTCGTTGATCACAGAGAGACGGTGGTCTTTCCGTTTCATCCAAAGAAAGCCCTCTAAACCGGCAGGCGAAAGACCGGCCACACCTCTGTGGCCAGCCATTAGCTGCTGACAACCAAAGAACAAAAGCTTCAATTAGCACATTGTAAAGAGCATGGAACTGGGTGAGAATGTTGATCCTTTCTTTATTATTTTACAACTCAATTTCTTGGGAAAGGCTCCCGAGAAGCTAAAAACCTTCGGATGTGAACGGAAGTGGCGTTTTAAATTTTTTATGGAGGACAGAAATACACAGTACTGAAATGAAAGTTATATAAAGCTACAGTTTTGATAAAATTGAGAACTATGATAATAGTTAAGATTTTCTCTTTGGAAAAAAACCATTGAGGTGAAATATAAGAAAGTGGAGTATGACTATGCCAGCTCTTTCTAAAATCAACAATGATCTCCTTTGTTTTATTAACATTCAAAACCATTTTATTGCATCAGTCCACAAAAGCCTTCACCTCTTCCCTATAAGCATCTTCGTTATCATCCCGGATAGGACCCACCACTGCCGTGTCATCTGCATACTTCACAATATGATTCATAGCAGACTTAGCACAACAATCATGGGTCATAAAGTGAACAGTATCAGACTCAAAACACAGCCCTGTAGGGAACCCTTACTCAAAAAGATGGAATTGGAAACTTTTCTTCCAACTCGAACAACATGGCCACTTATCCAACTTCCCATCTATATGCAGATTCATGACCATCTCAAATAAGGCCAATGGCCTTGGTATCATCTGCAAACTTCAGAACTTTTAACAGAGGGTTTTCTTGAGGTGAATCATTGGTATAGAGAGAAAAGAGCAACAGAAAGAGCACCCAGCCCCGAGGGGCATCTGTATTAACTACCTATTAGATGTGATTTTCCCTAGCCTCACCTGTTGCTTCTATCTGTCAAAAAGCTGATTATCCAGCTACAAATATGAGCAGGTATAATGAGCAGATAAGAGCAGTGAATGGTCATAAATCAAAGACCACCTGTACTAATGGAATGTAATCAGGGCTACAGTAAAATTTTATAGTAAGCATTAAATGTTATTTTTAAAATACTAAGCATATCTGAGCTTTGAAAAATCTTACAGTGGAGCAAAATATATTCAAATTTAGTTCCTATTTATTATCTATGTTATTGTTTTCTTTAATAAATTGGTATTTTTTTTCTGGCAAAAGGTATTAAAACAGAATGTTTAAAATTTTTGATTTAAGATCAAAAATCATACACAGTTAGCTTCCTTTTTTTCCCTTTTCTTCAGATTATTTGACCAGGTTTTAATTCTCTGATTTTAAACATTTGTCTAAAATGAATGAATATAAATGTTTTAAGCAAAATAATGTGAGACTGTAATTTACAAAATTTTACAAATACGAGTTGCATAATTAGAGCTATATTCAAAATAAAGGCAATATGTAGTATCAGATTTAAGAGGCTTAATTTATATTTTATATAATGTATTTATGAATATATCTGATTATTTTTTCTGGACAGCCACCAGCTCAGCCCACTTGGAAGATCTAGCTTACTTAGATGAACAGAGGCATGCTCCTCTGCGAACATCTCTCAGGATGCCTCGTCAGAGTATGGCTGGTACTCGCACACAACAGGATCTAAGAGGTAAAGATCATGTGATTCATGTATATTCAAGCTTTCATCAACTCCTTTACCAATACAGATTTTAAAAAAATTATTTTGAAAATACAGGTAATCTCTGAGTTCTGAGTGTTCACTTAGTGCTTGTTTGAAGTTACGTGATAAGTGCCCCCTAGTGTTTATGAGCAATTCCCAAAATTACAAATATTGCAGCGCCACAGCAGTTGTTCACCCTATTCCACCACCACCACCCTGCTCCCCATAACTGCTTCCCCCTCCCATTCTGCTGCACCAGACTCACCTTGCAAAAATCATCTTTCCAGTCTCCCCAAAGTCACCGTATGGCTAAAAAATGTTTGAGCATCTATCGAGTGCTTTGAAATGCTCCATTTTGCTCCTTTTCAATCACTAGCCCTCCCCCCATGGCCTTCCCCACCCTGAGATACCTCATGTGCACTTAACGAACTGTGCATTCGCCCACACATTGTATTAGCGAATGAGTGGGCGAAAGCAGGAAGTGATCTCGTTCAAAGTACGAGATTCACTCCCACGAATTCTTGAGTTATGAATGGAATGGGCAGGCTCCATTACATTCATAACTCAAGGACTACCTGTATGCTCTTCCACTGTGTAGCAGCAATCTCCTCACCAAATCTGTCTTAATAAATACTGAAAACTGAATTTAGCATCCTTAATATAAAACATAAACACTATTATAGATCCACTCTCCAGAAGACATTTGGGGAAGAAATGGGATTGACTTACGTCTAAGATATGTGTGCTGTATGGGAAAAGGAAGTTATGGGGTTTGTTCTTCTTTATGGTGCATGATTTTAAATCCCATTACTTAGCAAATTGAAAGTGGTTCAGAGTCTTCAGATTAGAATGACAAAAAATGTGAGTAAATAAAAGCATAATAAACAGTAAGCAGGATACTGAAGTGGAGATACTGAGGCTGAAGGGTGAAATGGAATCCTTCAGACTCTAACTCACAGCTCCTATGACTTGGTTTCCAATTTCCTTTGCTCCTTTCAGAACTAGGTAGGAACTAAAACAGTGGTGGGATTTAAATATGTGAACAACCGGTTCTCTATGTGGATGCCGCTTCCAGAAGTCCATTCTGGACCTGGGCAACAAAAAATTAGCTACCGGTTCTGCTGAAGTGGTGCGAACTGGCTGAATCCCACCATTGAACTAAAAGGATATAAGAGGGTTAGGACTAGGTTGGGGCAGTAGTGTTTTTCTTTTTAGAGACACAACTATTATTTGTTCTGAGATGAGAGAATATTCCTGTTCTGCAGGGAGATTCCTAGAAGAATTAATCTTTGGTAAGCCTTTCTAGTAGAGTAAGATATTTATGATTCGTTGCACAGTCAACCAGACTGGGTTTGGTATTTTTCTCTACCTATTGAATCCTTTCCAAAGACATGGGATAGGCAGATCTTGATATTTAATAACGTTACAGATATTGTTAGAGGATGGAAGCTGTTCTGAATAAAAGCTGTTATTTTGCAATTGACTGATGGTGAATTTATTAGTAACGATGATGTTCAAGTGATGCTCCAATTGTTTTGGGATTGCACCCAAGGCCCCTATTACTATTGGGTACTACCTTTGCTTGCTTTTGCCACAATTGTTCTATTTCTATGTCTTTGTATTTTGTTATTTTCTTCTTTGTTATCTTCTTCTATTTTGCTGGTTCCAGGTACTACCATATCCACTACCCAGACATTTTTGTATTTTTCATCAACAATTGTTAAGGCTGGGGTGATATGTGGCAGGTACATAGGCGTCACTTACTGTTTTTGTATGCATTTGTTCTTAAGACTTAGCCTTGTGCAGCCAGTCTTGGTCTATTTCTTCAACTTTCCTGTTTTTAACCATTGCCAGCTCTTGTTATTATCTTCTTTCCCTGCTATTTTTTAATGTACTTGCCATGTAGTGCTTTGTCTTACCATGCCTCCATTCTGTTCTTCATTGGTCTTTCCTGTAGGCCAGTTTAGTCTTTCCAGTAGTCAGTAAGCCTTCCTAGTATACTAACTTCAGTGTATCTTCTTCACTGTCCTGTCAGATATTCTTCCTAAGCACTTTTAGTCTTCAACTATCTGATGTACTTGCAACATTCCACACCCACCTATTCGCCTTGGTAGGTAGTCTGTCAGTGTTGCTACAAGGATGAAGGGCATGATTCATTGTCCTTATTTTTCTGGTCTTCCTATCTATTGCTTTTAGTTCAGCTTGAGTCCATTCCACTATTTCAGCTGTGTATCTCATAACTGGAATTGCCCAGGTGTTGATCGCCTTGATGGTATTTCCTCCATTGAGTTTGGACTTTAAAATTTTCTTCACTCTCTTGATGTATTCACCTCTAATCTTTTTCTTGACTTCAGTGTGCTTGATCTTGTCAGCTTAGAAGATACCCAGGTATTTGTAGTAATCATCTTCATCCAGACTCTTTTTTTAAAAGTTTTTTTATTTATAATACAATTTAAAAAAGAAAACATTGGACATGACGTAACCTTCCAGTTTGAACATTTCTATCAAATTATTTCTCTTCTTACATTCAATTCTTTATCTCTATAAATACATATCAATTTTTTATATAATACTTAATACATTTTGTCTATTTGCTAACCTAAGATTATGTATATTTCCATCTTGTCACTAATCTATAACCCCAACAGTCCTCCTCGATTCCCACCAATAGTAGAATTTATCCCAGATTTCAAAATATTCTGATACACTTTTATCTTTCAGTTCCATCGTAAGCCTGTCCATTTCAGCACAAGATAGTATTTTATGCAGTATCTCTTCATCTGAAGGAGTTTCTTTGTTCTTTCATTTTTGTGCAAACGCCAGTCTAGCAGCGGTCAAAATGTGCAACATCAAGTAGACTATCCCCTTATCATATTTCTCTGTGGTTATGCCCAGTAAAAAGAGTTCAGGTTTTAGCTCTATCTCCAACATTAATATTTCTTTCAGCCATTTTCTTATCCTATTCCAATAATCACAGACTTTATGACATTCCCACCACATGTGGTAATAAGTCCCTATTGCTATTTTACATTTCCAACATATAGGTGAAAGATTTGGGCCCATTTTGGCTAACCTCGTAGGTGGGAAATGCCATCTGTAAAACATCTTATAGAGATTTTCTTTATAAGACGTAGCTAAAGTAAGTTTCCTATTTCTTTCCCACAATTCTTGCCAGATGTGCATATCAATATTAAAGCCGAAATCCCTACTCCACGTTAACATAGTTTCCTTGACCTGCTCTTCATGCATTGCCTGGTCTAGGAGGTAATGATATATTCTTTTAATCATTTTGTCCTCGGTTCCTAATAATATTTTATCTAACTCTGTCGACTCTGTTTTTATACCCCAATCTTTTTTATCTTTCCTATATCTTGATTGCAATTGGAGATATGCCCACCATTCCAATTCTATCCCTTCATCTGAAGATTGTTCCTTGATTTCAATTCTCCTCTCTTGTCTAATATATTTTTATACATTATTACTTTCCCTAGTTGTATGAACATTGGGTGTATATGCATTTCCAATGTTGAAAGCCAATTAGGAATTTGCATATAATTTTGTTGCCTAATTTTAACCCACACATCTATTAGCGCACGTCTTATATAATGCCTCCAGAAGTACTGGTGAACCTTGTATTTCTCGTCCCATAATATGGCGTGCCACCCAATCTGCATCGCATGACCTTCCAATCTTAATAATCTCCTATTTTTCAATTGTATCCAGTCCCGCACCCATATTAATATTGTAGCTTGATAGTATTTTTCCAAATCCGGGAGACCGAATCCGCCGCTCTCTTTAGAGTCTTGCAATAATTTTAATTTAATCCTTGATTTTTTCCCTTGCCAAATAAATTTGAGTATGATTTGATTAAAATTTCAAAAAAATCCTTATCTAATTTGATTGGTATGCATTGAAACAAAAATAGTATTTTGGGGCTTCCGGTGGCTCGGCGGCTGCCGAAGGGGGTTGTTTTGACAGCCTCCCGTTCAGGACTGCGTAAAAAGTGCTGAAACAGCGCTTAACAGCTGTTTGGCGCTTTGAAACTTCTCTCCGGGCAAAGGAGAGAAGGAGAGCTTGCTCGTGAGTAGGAGTCGAGTTCCCTAGCCTCCCTGGGTTTTCCCAGCGAGGTGAAGGTGAGAACTCCTCCGGAGCTCTGAGCTTCTCCGCAGATCGGGACGTCTTCGCTGCAAGCGAAGCCAGACGCCGTCTCCACTTCTGATTTTTTTTTAATTAATTGTGAGTACCTTTCACAGACGGAGCTAACTAGGAAGTCTGAATTTTTTTATAAAGAACTTAAAACTTTGACTCAGACTTTAAAGTACTCTTCTCAAGGATTGAAAATCGAAAGTTACTTTTTGGAGAAAAAAAATGGCTGCGGTTTGCCGCTTCTTTGTTCTAAAGAGATACTTTTACTTTCCTTCCGGTTGTGGATGGCTACATTGTTAAAGCTGTAAAAAATCTTTAAAAATTAAGGAAAAATCTCCAAAAAATAAGAAAAATTAAAGGAGAATTTGTTTGATTTCTAACTGTTTTGGACTGTATATTAAAAAATTTTTTAAACCTTAGAATGGCTTCTAAACGAGGTGCAATTCCTCCAGCACTTAAGTCAGCTGTTGCCTCTCCAGCAGTACAGGCTACACAACAGAGAGCTAAAACTCCTCCACCCTCTTCACCACCTTATGTTACTTTAAAGGATTTACAGGACTCTTTGATGCAGATGCAGATGCAGATGACTAAACAAATTGTACAGCAAGTAAGAGTGGAGACAGAAGAGTTGTTTGCTAAAAA